ATAGTGTGAATATTTCCGTCATTTAGATTCCAGCAAAAACTAAAAGGCAATTTGTATTCATGTCACTGTCAAAAACTCATTAATTAGGGGAATAAACCTGATCTAGGAATTATCAATAGTAGCCATAATTACAACAAATTATTTAATTGAAGGTATGAAAGATTCCAGGATATAAATGTAAAAATAAATTCTTGGAATTTCAACAACTAGATTAATACCATTCATATAGACACTTATGAATCTGAATAACATATTACAGCGTTTTATACAAATATATGTTTTTCATATTAAAAAGAAACTAATTAATTTGAATAAATTTGAGAATGCACATTTATAACAATTGTTATGCCATGACAATTTAAACAGGTCACTAGTAGCACATGCATCGGTCACAGTTTAAAACTTTAAAAGAACACAAGAAAAAGTCCTTCGTGTTTATGAACACTTATTTATAATAATCTTTACTCACTCTTTCAAGAAACAATCTAGTAACTGCAAATAATTACCAATATAATAGTAAAATAAATATTTGTATCTGAACATATTAAAAAAAAAGACCTAGGATATATACCAACCACGATTGAAATATAATCAGTAATGATAAATCAATTACAATAATTTAAAAAAAATGGTAATTAGTACATCGCTTGTACATCACAAATTAAAAAAAAAAAAAACAATTTTAGTTTTCAAGAGTGAATATAATAAAAAAATCAAAAACATGAAACTATTTTTATTATACATAAATAAGGGAATATTTTGTAGCAACATTAAATTCATAAGATTTACTTCTTAAAAATTAATTTTCACACAAATGCAGCAATGTTTCTGCGTGCTTGCGGCAACATACATACATTATTGAATTCTTGGCATCAATAATTGTTCATACATCATATATATTTATTGACTTGAATTAATAAGCATACATTTAGTAACTAATCTAATATATAATCAACTGAATTTAATAATATTTAAATTTTTATGTTTCAATATTGCACTTGCGTGAAACAAACTCCTACAACATACGAATCACTAAATCTGTTCATCGAAGAAACTATTAATGCAACTTTCATCATGTTAAAAGTATACTATATTTCAACAGCAAAACTAAAAAACATTAACAAAAAAAAAAGGAAAAAAATTGAAGCTAATAATTTCCTTTCCACCAACTAATGAAAAATGAAAAAATGTTTATATTTTAAAAAATAAATTATTTAAAAATACGTTTTTCAATCATACTCAAAATTTGAAAATTTACTATATTAAACATCTACATTGTAAAAATAAATTGATGAATCAAATTCACAATCAGAATATGTTACAGTAAAACTTTAAAGATATAAATATTCAAGTGAAGTGAAGTGATATAAAATTATTTAAGTAAAGCCAGTTTCTAAAATTACTTTAAAAATATACACGACACAAAAGTATGAAGATGTAAATGTTCTACTGCAGACTAAAGAAATTGACGAAAAAATACCATGGATTAAAGATATCAATATCGATTCAGGTTGATTTGTAAGAAGCATATTTCTTTCCTTAAACCAATTACCACAAAAACGGATAAAATCCAAATGCCTTGTATTTAAAATACATATCAACTGAAAAATAAACATCTTCAGAATAAAAGAAAATAAATAAATTAAAACCAAATTAAAAAAAAAACAATAATTTTTTTTTTAGGTTTAGAAAATAGATAAAATTAATAGAAACTAAGAGATCTACTCGTCTGAATTAAAGGGCTGAATCGAGAACAGGAGGTTCAGCTGTGTATTTTCCTCCTTCCCCATGTCATAACTTTCATTTTCTACATCTTATTCACCGATTTTCATTTCCATATGACAGGTGGAAATAAATTGATTAAATAAAAAATAAACAGATATTATCGAAAAAAATTTCAACTCGTTAAACACCTACGATTGTATCAAATGTCTGAAATCAATAGAATGAGAACAAACATTTCTTAATTCTAACATCCTAATTTAATATTTTTAAAAACTGGAAATTCTATATCAAACAAAATATTTTTTTATTAGGAAAAATAATTAATTTTAGATATTTCTTTCATAACTTATATAAATTCAGTGATTTTATAAAGAATAACAGACAAATTTTATAAATCACAAATTAGCTTTGCAGAATTGTTTTTTTTATCGATACAGCAAATTCACTTAAATTAACTCTGAAATAAACAAAAGTAGGTATTACCTTAGCTAGATAAGATAAACGCATTTTAAAACACAAAAAATTTCCTGCATTGTTCAATTAAATTCTGAAATTTAATCCATTTAAAAAATCATACAAAATTGATGTGTAACTGATACTCAGATTTTGGAGAATAAAACAAAACTAAGTAAATGGTTATTACATTTGATATCTCATTTAAACAAAAACAGTGTTTTGGAGTTTCCTCTTTCAATCACATAGGAAATCAATTTTCCCGAGTTATTAAAACAAAATTAATAGAGAAAAACTTCAAATTAAATCGTATTCGATATAATGAGATTAGCATTAGTTGAAAATTCAGGTTATAAGAAGTTATCAAGAATAAGAAATAAAAACTTCGAGAAAGATCCTAAGACGAAAACAGGCATGCCAGGCCTATCTGTATCAGCATAAATATCATCGATATATCCTTTTATCATTAATATAACCCTATGTCATTATTAATATCACTATCAGGCTCACCATGAGATGGTGAGTAAAATGCCAAACATTTGACTACATTAAGTATATGTAAAGTAATTTATCCATTACTGTATTTATTTAATATAACTGATAATAAATAACAGGTGAATTATAAGACCTGGATTTTTAAAGTATTTACTCCAAATGGAAATAACCAAGCACTTAAATTTATATGCATTTAGAACAGAGAATAACAAATAAAATGAAGTATTAAAAACAATGCTATCAACCGGTAAAAAAAAAAAAACAAGCTATCGATTATTATTATTATATCAGAAGTCTCCAAACTAAGTTCTACCGACCGGATCCATGGATGTGAAATGTCCGTAGCACCTTCAATCCAGCCCGCTAAAGTTTCTTTGATGACATCCTAAAATTTTAAAAATGTAAAATTTAGCAAATTATCCACACACGAGATTACTACAGCATTAATTGTCTATTTTTTTTTTTCTCTTAGAAAGCTCATTTCACAGCATCAAGGGTCATTTATAGAACTTTTTTTTTCATCACAAGCCATGGCCTGCTGGGCTTGGTTGGAAGTCCCAATGCGGCCAGCGGAATAGTTAAGGTGTGAATGTGGGTCACAGACTAAAGTTTGGAGATCCTTGTATTAGATCATCAGTACACAACAAATTCATGCAGACAACAAATAACATCCAAATGTGCATGAATTATTGCACTTTGCGGCTGGAGGACATTCATTTGAAAAGGTGAAAAAGTGTGGTTTTTGGTTCACAAGTAAACACAGATAATGAGATAAAAATAGAGATCCATTGCAGAATTAACGTTATTTTGGGCTACTAAAGCATTTCATGAGCAGGACTATTTCTTGAATCACAAAGGTACAACTATTCAAGACCATGTAGACCAAAGCATTTATGGGACAAGAAAAGTGAGAAGGCCTTCGCTTCAGAAATGGATGTGAGATCCATCTTATGAGAGCAGCGGCAACCAACAGAGAAGACTGGAGGACCAAACTGCAGGAAAGCTTGACTCCAAAGGAGTTATGATCATGGATGATTATGGTATACAAAAAGTCAACTTAGAAGGAGAAACTACAAAATTAGAAAAACTATAAATCAAATATAAAACAATTACAAATAATTTTTTGATGATCAGCCAGCAAGCATAAAGCCTTCTGTGATTTATTTCTGAAATCATGCATCTCTAGTTCAATATCACTGATTTCATCAATTTTAGATCAATCGAGATTTACACACATTTAAAATTTTTAATAAATCAGAGAGGTTTTATTTATGAATAATCAGGAGTTAAAAATTGGAAAAAAATACCTCCTCAATTTATATATATCCTTTTGATTTAGCAAGCAATAATTAACTTGTTAATATCTTTTAAGAAATAAAATAAATCATATTTTCATTTTAAATTTATCATAGGTTTTTGAAGTCACAATGACTAAATAAATTGAAATGAGGGCCCGAGAGTTCCCAGTTCGGAACAATATGGTCTTGATTTCCATTTAGAAACTAATATTTTATAGTAAGACAATCCATGAAATAAATCTTGAACTCGTGAAAAACGACCAACAGACCCACTTACAAGACTAGTTCCCTCCACTAATAACAGAACCAGCTTCTAATGTTCGCAAATGTGGCTAAAGAATAAAATTTATGACATTGTTCCTTTCTCCTTTGTTGATCATGGGAGAATAGGTTTAACGATTAAGAATAAAAAAAAACTATTTTTTAAGATCTCTGTTCTATAATCGCCTATTTATATAATAAACTCGAAGAAAATTAAAAACATTAATTTTCAACTGCCTAAAACATTGAATACGAAAAAAAGTATCAACTCACGCAACCATTTTTAAACTCACTACAGTCAGTAAATTAGTAAACAGGATCTTTAACAAACTAATTATGAGAAAAAATAATACTGACAAAAGCTAAATAGAATAAAATTTATTTCTAACAAAAATTTAACTCATAATACATTTTAAATTTTTTTCATTCATTAAATTTTAAATGAACCAACATTCGAAATTGCATTTCAATATACACAATTAGTCAAGAATCTGGTTTCCCAGCACCAATAAAGAAAATACACTATTTTCATTTTACAACTTTGACTTAAGTGAATTTAATATTAAATTTATTTTATTAATCCAATCATGCATTGATATAATTTATAGAATTTTACATTTATACATAGAACAGTGTTAATTAGACGACAAAATAGGATAATATACAATTTACAGATGATTTAAAATGTTCAAAAGTTTTTAAATATTAATAAAAACCTTGATGTTACTTAAAAATACAGAAAATAATGTATCAAGGCAATATTGACAGGTAATTTTTACATTTAACTGATTTAAAACCAATTTATTTAATTTATAAAAATAGAAGGTGCACTAACATTTTCTGTTTAAAAACTCAAATATAGCAAGAAGTAATTTATAAGATCAAAATAAATGTTTAAGTGAAAAATCAAGCGTGATACACAAATGCAATGAATATAGACAGACTAATCTTAAGAACAATTATTTTAAGATGATATAGATGATATTATTATTAGCTCACCCTCAATTTAGAAAATGATTTACATTTAATGAATCAAAATAATTAAACAAAAATTAACGTTTCCACAGAAAGTCAAACAGATCAATATGACAATGGCATGGTATCGTTGTTTTCAAGGCAGACATGATTGGTGCATCGGTCTGCATTTTAAACATGTTTAAAATTTTATCATAAGAATGTATAATTATTATTACTATCGTATCTATTCCACAATAAGAAACATGTATCATGCATATAATAAATAATTACACGTCAACAAATATATTTGCTTCGTTCATTAGGAATGTGAAATCCTAAGTTTTAAACAGATTTAATAGAAAATGGAACAACTAAATTAATTACCACAACCATATGAGGGTAAACAACTAATGATTAAGACCTTATGTCCAATTTAAAATCTTAAAAGAAAAAAAAAGATACTATATTAAAGCTATGTGTACATAATTAATTAACATTTTGATGATTCAAGTTCAATACATTAATTAATGAACTCACGATAAAGCATTAAAATAAAAATTAGAATAAACATAATCAGTGGAAGTGAATTTATACTTTGAAAATACAGAAATTTTTAAATAAAGCAACTTTAATATGCTCTGAATAAAATATTTTTCATAGTAATCATATTGTACCTTTGTAAAATACAATAACCGAACACAGGGCATTCATTAAGCCCAAATTATTATAGATAAACATCTTTATGAGTATTAGAGAGCAAATTAATTTTATCGAAAATGTGTTACCACAAATTAATGTTTAGGGGTCAAATCGAAAGGCCACGAGCTTTACAAACGAAGACGGGATGTGGCGCTCTTGTATAGCGATTTTGGAATTGTAATTTATTTTGGTTTCATGATTTTTTTTTTTTTTCTCTCTCTTATTTAGTGTTAAAAAGAAAAAAAATTGCAACAATCCTAAATTATATTAATCCAGGAATAGTTACTTAGGAGATAATTGAGGCAAATGAATCAAAACAAAATCATTATCTTTTGGAAATATTGAAATAATAACAGCCCTGAGCAATAAATAGAGTACTTGATTGAAATCTGTTACACATCTTAAGAAATCTTTGCAATTGATTAAATTTTATTGGGCACTACACAACTTGAATAAATATATTTAAATATAAATTTTTAATTACACCACAACTTACTATAAAAACATTTAAACAAGATCTGGAATGAAAATACCACCAGTGCCAAGCAAACAACTAACATACTTAATTAATACTCTACATACAAATAAATATGTGAATTTCCTAAAAAAATATGTGTTAATTACCGTCACCTACATAATCCTATATTATGTATATAAATATACATATATTTTGCATTTTAGAAATGAGCGTTAATTAACCTGAGGAAATTATTCTTAAAACTGAATACTGCAGAGGGATGGGAGAATTGCACTTAAACTTTCATCATATTGATGAATAAATATTGACTAAATACTAAATGAGAAAATTACATAATGCATTCAAAAATATAATACAGAAAATAGAAACAAAGAACAGCATAATTCGAGGGCAAGTGGCTTTCCCCAAAAGGCCAATTCAAGACAGGATTCACTTTTATGTTTCAAATGAATTTTAATTCTTAGAATTAACAATTAAAATCTTTAAAAAATTTATTACAAATTCTTTACCTTTAAGAAAGTAAAATGCATATATGAAAAATCGAAACTATTTGTAAATTTTACCATAAAAATATATGACCTAATGAGGAAAACGTCATCAATTTTGACAAGAATTTCTGAACTGTATTTCTATCACTTAAAAAATGTGGCATACACTTTCTTGAGAACAATAATATTAAATATATTTGAAATACTTTTAACAAATATCAGTTATAAATAATAACATAATTTAATACGTTATTGCATAAAATAATCAGGATGATCAGAATCTTTTTCAAACCTTTTTGCTTCTTCTTGCATACTTTCTTTTATCTTCATGATGGCCGCAGATTCAGTCTGATCATTTTCTGGAGGTCCACCAAAGCCGCCTAAATTGTAATCACCCATTCCAGAACCACTATCTTCTCGAGGAGTTCCAGGGCCTCCTGCTGGAGAGTTTTTCATTCCATCAAGACCATCACCACTCATTACAGGTCCCATAGTACTAGGACCCATTGGTCCCATCGGACCCGTTTCACCTCCAGCCCCCATCGAAAAATCTCCTGGCATATTTCCACCAGGGACAGGTTTCATCATTGTGTACATATTCTCACCTCCTGAGTTGGACGAGTCTTGAGGGCTCTGCATGATTGGTGTTCCAGGACCTGGAGGTCCTGTAGAACCTGGAGGCCCACCATAATTTCCAGGAGATGACGATGAATAATTCATAGGTGTTGAAGTGTTTGGCTGCCACTGGGGTCTCCCACCGGGTCCTGTCATTGACATAGGATGCATAGGGGCACCAGGTCCAGGTCCAGGGCCCATTGTTGAATTAGGAGGTGGTCCTCTTAAACTAGGACCGTAACTTCCTGGGCCCATAGGTGCCATTCCGGGACCTCTTGGTGGGTTCATCCTTGGATTCATACTATTCATTCCTGGAGGACCTTGCCTGCTGGGATCCATACTGTTAGGCATCATAGGTTGCCCTGGAGGGCCATTATACTCATTTCCAAGTTGAGGCATTCGTACACCGGGTCTAGGGCCAGCAGGATAACGTGGACCCATAAAAGGCTGAGTTGCCATCATTTCACTGTGAGGCGGTGGTGGTTGTGGATGAGGTGAAGGCTGAGAAGAAGGATGAGTAGGAGGAGAAGGTCGCATTGTAGAGTTAGGAAAAAATCCAGGTGGTATTGGCCCACCAGGTATACCGTCATTTGGAGGCATCTGGCCGAGAGGAATAGGTGCAGGTCCAGTATTGTGAGCAATTCCGTTGACACCATATCCAGAATTAACAAAACCATAATCATGAAAAGCTTTAGCTTCACTGGAATGTTCACATGTGTCTCTTCTTTCTGGGGCAGCACAGTACAAATCCCAAAATACACACCACCACGAATGTAGGAATCCTGGAGGCTCACCTAATGTTATGTTTTTCTCCCATCTGATTTCTGAGAGGAAAGTTTGTGCAGCCTTCTGTGCCCCTACATGGAGTAGATATTCGTAAACGTAAAGTGCCAGTTTTTCACGGGCCTGTGCATTAGAAGGGACAGTAGATCCTTTACCCTTAGCATACATTGTTTATTTTAGCAGTAATCTGATATGACTTTCTGTATTTAACTACAGAACAGCTTCTTATACAAACTGAAATCTTCTAAAGTCATAAATCGTGTTTAAATTCCACTCATTATCAAATAAAACACTAACTACAACTATGTACCACATATACAACAACACACAACTAAACTACAAGTCAATACGGACAAACAGGTATGAACTCAGTGTTGCCAGCCTACGCTTGATTTTTCAACCCACTGATCATCACAAGGTCATTTTACAATTTATGCAATTCGTATTTATAATAAGCATAAAAAAACATATCAATAATCATGAAAAATAATACAAATAATAATTATTATTTTGAATGAAATATTGATGTTTGATTATACATAATCTTAGTATGCCCCACAAGAATCTGATTTAAAAAATATTGAAGGGGTAGAAACGTTTTATCACAAAGTCAAATAAGTACAATATGGAATAATTTCTTGTTGATAACAATAATTAGTACTATCACTCACATAAGTGTATATATTTACTATTTCTTACTTTCAAATCATAAATAAAACAGCACCGAAATTTGTTACACTTTTGAATCTTATCAGTATGTATTTACATTTGATTTTATCAGAGAAATATAATGTTTAAAAAACTTTAAATGTTATTGAAATATTGTCTTGAATTTATATTAAACAATTGCCTATGTGGATTTATATGTGTATGTTTCACTTAAGTGAATTAAATAAGACTAAATAATCTCAAATTCAATTTATGAGCTATTGTATATTAAAGATATTGATTTATTAACTGAAATACTAATAACTTTAAATATTTATCAAGATGAAACAACGAGGTTCAGATTAAAAAGTAAATATAGATGTGTCCAATCAATGACGTCAATGGAAACCTTTTGTTAATATGCTAAAAACAAACATCAGCAATAATAAGTCGAATCATTTTCCTATATTGAAAAACGTCTTTTTGATATTTAGGCATTGCCAAATTTTTAACTGGTTTGATATAACAATATCACAATTGACATGAATAAGTTTAGTTAATAGATAATATATATATATATATATAAACAAATGTAGTTTCGGCACATTTTTTTTTTCAATAAACCTTTTAAATGTTCTTTCATTAATCGATAAAGGATAATCTTTAAGAGCAAATTATACAACTTCATTTATTCAACATAGGGCAGTCAGTAATATTTGAAAGATCCGTATATAAGATACATATATTGCAAAGTTTATTGTTAATTATTCATTCCAACAATATAATACTTAATGCTCACTACGATAATTATTCAAATAAAAATGCACAAACTTCAAGAAATTGATTCTATCTAAATTAAACAAAATCTACAGTAAAATTAAAATGTATAAGCCAACTTCAAGAAATTTGATTCGTCTTATTAAAAATCAAATAGTTTTGTATCCGTCTCTTTCGTAGCTTCCCAGAACATTATTCCTTGCCTCTTCGCATTCCACTCCAAAAATATAAGATATTAGAACCTTGATGGTTGTGCTAAGTAATAGATTCTTAGCAAAAAAATGGCATTTCTAGGTTTGTTTGGTTAAAAAACAACTATAGAAATAAATTATTAAATAAATACATTAAGGTAGCATTCCCATATTTAAAAGTATACATGTAAAAGAATACAATAGATTTCAACTGATTTTCTTGGATTTTTATTAACGTAACCTTATAGTTTTTATTCATTAATTTATTTAGTGCATTGATGTTTTTTATTTATTTATTCTCCATTTGCTTTATCTTCATTCATTATAAATACCCTTTATTGCATTGTATTATTCCCCATCAAATCCTGACTATTTCTTAGCAAACCCTTTTGAATATCTGTTACTCTGAACCACTAACGGATCCAGGATTTAATTTTGGGGAGGGGGCTTCAGCCCGAAAGATTTTTTTTTATGTATATTTATTAAACTAATTACATCGGAAGTAAGAAAGATACTAAATACCTATATGAAATGGTGTTTAAGTGATCCTTTAAGTCCTATCAAATGTAATTAGACCAACAATTATACTTTCAGAGATAATTTTTTTCATAAAACATGGTTATGTTTTACCATTTCGGAGGGGGGGGGGCTTCAGCCCGAAAGCTTTCCCCTCTCCACCGTAGATCCACCAGTGCCCTGAACACCTTTCATCACAACACCCGATCTAGCCCACTATGATGAATCCCTGCAATACTTTACACAAAACTACCACCATTTATCACAATTTTATCGTATACCTATTTCAATTTTTCATGAAACCTGACTCGAGCCTTACATACCGTTCTCTTTTGTTCGCATGCCTAACTACTCCCTCATCCGCGACAATCAGGCCAACTGGACCTGCGCCATTATAGCTTTACATGTCCATGATAATCTAAAGACCCAAATCTTCGATTGTTTACCATCTGGTCATACACAAGTTGAGTTCATTATCGTCGAAATTTCCTGCAGTTCTTTTCTTCTTCTTTATGCCGAAGTATATCGTTCACTTCGCTTACAGTTTAGTCCGTCATTTGAATCTTCCCATTCAACTTCAACTTATCATTTCAAGTCACTTATCACTGAGCACAGATTCTCTCTCTAGTACCAACCATGAGTTATATCTAAAAAACCTATTTTTCTCATTTAACTACTTCGTCGTTTCTCTCACCACATCTGCAATTCTTTCAAATGGTTAGATCTGCACATTATCGACTCCATGCTTCTAGTATACTTTCAATCTATCCTCTCATGACCAGATATAATTATAATATAACATCCAGCTTTCTCCGATTCAACCTATAACCATTACTTTCTACCACATAGAAAAAAAAATCTTACCAGGTCTTAAAACCTTAGGGTGAAATAGATTATATTTCTGTTCTCTGTTCATTCGTCCTAGACTGTAATGGAATATATCTCTGTTTTTCTATTCAATTCATCTGGAGTGTAATGGAACACATTCCTGTTCTTTTATCTAGTCCATGGTTAACATACTTACTTTGGAATTTCTCAGTATCTTAGATATCCATGTCACTTTCGGAACCTGTCTATTCCTTTTCTCTTCGGCGTGCACTTTGCATCAGAAATAACAATCTGCTATTCATTGACGCTTCGACATACTAAGCTCGCTGACGAACATCAAGCATTCAGGTTGTTCTATAACTTGATACAAACAAGGATTTGGCAAGCCAAATCTAACTACTTTTATCAGAAGCCCTTTTATCAGCTTATGATTCCAAATTAAAACGGCTGATCCTTCCCTAGGTTGTCACCTCCGCGAAGGTACAGATCTTCTGGAAATAAGGTGGCAGCCTTACCTCAGATTGAGTGATTGAGCATCACGTTTTACAAACTTTTCGGATTTAATTGATATAAGGATCGACTACAATGTTTGCGGGGACGTTTTCTATGAAAATAATGTAGGATTTCTTGTTCGGGATTTAATTGATATAATTTTTTATTTTAATGTTGTCGATGTCGCATTTTATGAAAAAAAAAATGAGATTTTTAATTGCGCAATTGAGCAGTACGTTTTTCAAACATTTCGGATTTAAGGAGTATAAGAGTACATTATAACGTTATCGGGGGCGCTTTTTGAAGTGTTTTTATTGACATGAAATAGCAACTTTTGAATGCTAATTAATAATGTCAGTCAGTTTCTAATAATCAGAAAGTTTTCAGTCAAAAAATTTGTTTGTTTTTTTACCCTATTAAGATACGAATTAATTGGTCAAGCAAAAACTATGAGCTAATGTGATCGACGTTATTTCACAAAATTGTATGACGTGATTTTGTTGTGCTACTCTGCAAGTTCTGTCTTCTTCCAATCTCTCTTTTTCCTCTGACGAAGCTGCTTTTCATCTCGTCTCTTCTTCCACCGTATGCTTCAGTATATTTCTTGCATTCATTGCTTTATATGCCAATTATTTTGTATCAGTGACATGTGCGCACTGTTTATCAACCTAAGGGGACTTTGGTTCTAATTGACACATCGCACATCAAAATCCTCTCCTCTTCCCAACACCCCGTTCCATTTCCTTCATCACACGACCTAATCCAAATTACATACGACCCACCCGTGAAATCCTTTACACCCAAAATAGTTTCATACCGTAATTTAAACCTTCTGTCCTATGAATCCCTACAACCTGACCTTGATTCTTTCCAATGGGACATCATATCTTCCTATGACTCCATTGATCCTATGGTATCTATCCTGACCTCAAACCTACAATCCTTATTAGACATCCATGCTCCTCTGAAAATTAAAACCTTACGTCGCCCCACTGCACCTTGGCTGACTCCTGAAATAAAGGAAATGATGAAAAGAAGTGATGAAGAAAGGCGCAAATGCCGTCGAACCCGTTTGCCAGCCGAGTAAGCGTCTTTTAAGAAACTTCGCAATGGAACCCAATCCACAATCCGACTTGCTAAATCCACCTACTTTCATAATGCCCTTTCCAATGCTCCTGATTCCAAATCCAAATGGAAAATACTTCGTAACCTATCCCTAACAGACTCCAATAAACTCAGTTCCATCCCGGTGATTCCAGATGATCTCAATGACCATTTCCTATCCTTCACTCACGATTCTTCTCCCACTTTCGATATTAAACATCACGAGTTCAACCCTGAAGACTTCTTTTTCTCCCATGTGATCTATGATGAATTACTTTCCACTATCCTAAAATCTCACACTTATGATTATGGTCCTGATAATATCCCAGTAAAACTAATAAACTCCAGCCTTCCTGCCGTTATTCCTGTTCTTTACCAAATCTACAACTTTTCACTGCAAAACTCTATATTCACATCCTCCTGGAAAACCGCCCTAGTCCGACCTTTGAATAAAATTCCCAACCCTACCTCACTAAACGATTTCCGTCCAATTTCTCTCCTATCCAACCTCTCAAAGCCGTTAGAACGCCTTGTCCAAAATCAATTCTCCAACTTCCTAGAAGAACGTTCCCTTATCAACCCATTCCAATCTGGCTTTCGACCTGGTTACTCAACGCAATCCGCTCTCCTTAAAATAACCCACGACCTCCAAAACTCCATCGAACATCAAAACCTTACCATCCTCATCCTTCTAGATTTTTACAAACCGTTCGACACAGTTGACAATAAGATCCTCCTTACGAAATTGCACAATCTTCCTCTATCTATAAGGTTCAAATCCTTCCTTTCAA